ACGAACGAACGAACGAACGAACGAACGAACGAACGAACGAACGAACGAACGAACGAACGAACGAACGAACGAACGAACGAACGAACGAACGAACGAACGAACGAACGAACGAACGAACGAACGAACGAACGAACGAACGAACGAACGAACGAACGAACGAACGAACGAACGAACGAACGAACGAACGAACGAACGAACGAACGAACGAACGAACGAACGAACGAACGAACGAACGAACGAACGAACGAACGAACGAACGAACGAACGAACGAACGAACGAACGAACGAACGAACGAACGAACGAACGAACGAACGAACGAACGAACGAACGAACGAACGAACGAACGAACGAACGAACGAACGAACGAACGAACGAACGAACGAACGAACGAACGAACGAACGAACGAACGAACGAACGAACGAACGAACGAACGAACGAACGAACGAACGAACGAACGAACGAACGAACGAACGAACGAACGAACGAACGAACGAACGAACGAACGAACGAACGAACGAACGAACGAACGAACGAACGAACGAACGAACGAACGAACGAACGAACGAACGAACGAACGAACGAACGAACGAACGAACGAACGAACGAACGAACGAACGAACGAACGAACGAACGAACGAACGAACGAACGAACGAACGAACGAACGAACGAACGAACGAACGAACGAACGAACGAACGAACGAACGAACGAACGAACGAACGAACGAACGAACGAACGAACGAACGAACGAACGAACGAACGAACGAACGAACGAACGAACGAACGAACGAACGAACGAACGAACGAACGAACGAACGAACGAACGAACGAACGAACGAACGAACGAACGAACGAACGAACGAACGAACGAACGAACGAACGAACGAACGAACGAACGAACGAACGAACGAACGAACGAACGAACGAACGAACGAACGAACGAACGAACGAACGAACGAACGAACGAACGAACGAACGAACGAACGAACGAACGAACGAACGAACGAACGAACGAACGAACGAACGAACGAACGAACGAACGAACGAACGAACGAACGAACGAACGAACGAACGAACGAACGAACGAACGAACGAACGAACGAACGAACGAACGAACGAACGAACGAACGAACGAACGAACGAACGAACGAACGAACGAACGAACGAACGAACGAACGAACGAACGAACGAACGAACGAACGAACGAACGAACGAACGAACGAACGAACGAACGAACGAACGAACGAACGAACGAACGAACGAACGAACGAACGAACGAACGAACGAACGAACGAACGAACGAACGAACGAACGAACGAACGAACGAACGAACGAACGAACGAACGAACGAACGAACGAACGAACGAACGAACGAACGAACGAACGAACGAACGAACGAACGAACGAACGAACGAACGAACGAACGAACGAACGAACGAACGAACGAACGAACGAACGAACGAACGAACGAACGAACGAACGAACGAACGAACGAACGAACGAACGAACGAACGAACGAACGAACGAACGAACGAACGAACGAACGAACGAACGAACGAACGAACGAACGAACGAACGAACGAACGAACGAACGAACGAACGAACGAACGAACGAACGAACGAACGAACGAACGAACGAACGAACGAACGAACGAACGAACGAACGAACGAACGAACGAACGAACGAACGAACGAACGAACGAACGAACGAACGAACGAACGAACGAACGAACGAACGAACGAACGAACGAACGAACGAACGAACGAACGAACGAACGAACGAACGAACGAACGAACGAACGAACGAACGAACGAACGAACGAACGAACGAACGAACGAACGAACGAACGAACGAACGAACGAACGAACGAACGAACGAACGAACGAACGAACGAACGAACGAACGAACGAACGAACGAACGAACGAACGAACGAACGAACGAACGAACGAACGAACGAACGAACGAACGAACGAACGAACGAACGAACGAACGAACGAACGAACGAACGAACGAACGAACGAACGAACGAACGAACGAACGAACGAACGAACGAACGAACGAACGAACGAACGAACGAACGAACGAACGAACGAACGAACGAACGAACGAACGAACGAACGAACGAACGAACGAACGAACGAACGAACGAACGAACGAACGAACGAACGAACGAACGAACGAACGAACGAACGAACGAACGAACGAACGAACGAACGAACGAACGAACGAACGAACGAACGAACGAACGAACGAACGAACGAACGAACGAACGAACGAACGAACGAACGAACGAACGAACGAACGAACGAACGAACGAACGAACGAACGAACGAACGAACGAACGAACGAACGAACGAACGAACGAACGAACGAACGAACGAACGAACGAACGAACGAACGAACGAACGAACGAACGAACGAACGAACGAACGAACGAACGAACGAACGAACGAACGAACGAACGAACGAACGAACGAACGAACGAACGAACGAACGAACGAACGAACGAACGAACGAACGAACGAACGAACGAACGAACGAACGAACGAACGAACGAACGAACGAACGAACGAACGAACGAACGAACGAACGAACGAACGAACGAACGAACGAACGAACGAACGAACGAACGAACGAACGAACGAACGAACGAACGAACGAACGAACGAACGAACGAACGAACGAACGAACGAACGAACGAACGAACGAACGAACGAACGAACGAACGAACGAACGAACGAACGAACGAACGAACGAACGAACGAACGAACGAACGAACGAACGAACGAACGAACGAACGAACGAACGAACGAACGAACGAACGAACGAACGAACGAACGAACGAACGAACGAACGAACGAACGAACGAACGAACGAACGAACGAACGAACGAACGAACGAACGAACGAACGAACGAACGAACGAACGAACGAACGAACGAACGAACGAACGAACGAACGAACGAACGAACGAACGAACGAACGAACGAACGAACGAACGAACGAACGAACGAACGAACGAACGAACGAACGAACGAACGAACGAACGAACGAACGAACGAACGAACGAACGAACGAACGAACGAACGAACGAACGAACGAACGAACGAACGAACGAACGAACGAACGAACGAACGAACGAACGAACGAACGAACGAACGAACGAACGAACGAACGAACGAACGAACGAACGAACGAACGAACGAACGAACGAACGAACGAACGAACGAACGAACGAACGAACGAACGAACGAACGAACGAACGAACGAACGAACGAACGAACGAACGAACGAACGAACGAACGAACGAACGAACGAACGAACGAACGAACGAACGAACGAACGAACGAACGAACGAACGAACGAACGAACGAACGAACGAACGAACGAACGAACGAACGAACGAACGAACGAACGAACGAACGAACGAACGAACGAACGAACGAACGAACGAACGAACGAACGAACGAACGAACGAACGAACGAACGAACGAACGAACGAACGAACGAACGAACGAACGAACGAACGAACGAACGAACGAACGAACGAACGAACGAACGAACGAACGAACGAACGAACGAACGAACGAACGAACGAACGAACGAACGAACGAACGAACGAACGAACGAACGAACGAACGAACGAACGAACGAACGAACGAACGAACGAACGAACGAACGAACGAACGAACGAACGAACGAACGAACGAACGAACGAACGAACGAACGAACGAACGAACGAACGAACGAACGAACGAACGAACGAACGAACGAACGAACGAACGAACGAACGAACGAACGAACGAACGAACGAACGAACGAACGAACGAACGAACGAACGAACGAACGAACGAACGAACGAACGAACGAACGAACGAACGAACGAACGAACGAACGAACGAACGAACGAACGAACGAACGAACGAACGAACGAACGAACGAACGAACGAACGAACGAACGAACGAACGAACGAACGAACGAACGAACGAACGAACGAACGAACGAACGAACGAACGAACGAACGAACGAACGAACGAACGAACGAACGAACGAACGAACGAACGAACGAACGAACGAACGAACGAACGAACGAACGAACGAACGAACGAACGAACGAACGAACGAACGAACGAACGAACGAACGAACGAACGAACGAACGAACGAACGAACGAACGAACGAACGAACGAACGAACGAACGAACGAACGAACGAACGAACGAACGAACGAACGAACGAACGAACGAACGAACGAACGAACGAACGAACGAACGAACGAACGAACGAACGAACGAACGAACGAACGAACGAACGAACGAACGAACGAACGAACGAACGAACGAACGAACGAACGAACGAACGAACGAACGAACGAACGAACGAACGAACGAACGAACGAACGAACGAACGAACGAACGAACGAACGAACGAACGAACGAACGAACGAACGAACGAACGAACGAACGAACGAACGAACGAACGAACGAACGAACGAACGAACGAACGAACGAACGAACGAACGAACGAACGAACGAACGAACGAACGAACGAACGAACGAACGAACGTACGAACGAACGAACGAAACAAAAAAATAAATACATAATGCATTTTTACTTTGACTTTCAATATTTATATTTTTATTTATGTAAATTATTGTAATCAGAAAATTATAATCTTTTTTAATTACAAAAATACTTCCAGGAAAACATATTTAGTAGACGCAAAGGGATATTCTTAGAAGTTACCAATGACATCAATGAGGGAAATCGTTATTATTTAGAAACGGGAAGTAGTTGAGGAAAGAAAACGATATTCTGCGCTGCTCGACATGTGCTTCACCTTCTATATGATATTTAGTCACGTTGCCTGCATCGTGATTACTATCATCACAAGTGCAACACAACTCTATCTCTCTTGTTCCATCAATCGTATGGCTAATAATTCCATCTCGTTCTAGCCTTTTACTGCTGTTAAAATTTATTTCAGTTTCAAGTTTAACTTCGAACTATTTACTACAGTGACAATCGACTATTAGGGTTTCATTTTCTTCAATTTTGGAAAAATGAAAATTATTGGAATGTCGGGAACTTCTAGCTTTAAAATATTTTGTAAGTAATAATATTACATAAACTACCTAAATATATTTTAAATTTTGAGGTACATTTTCCGAGTACCCACCAAAAATTATTAAACCATTACACATTGATTTAGTTGTTTTTAAATCTACTAAGGATATGAACCTCCGAATCATAATATAAATTAAAAAACATTAAATCAAATACACATACAGTGTGTATAAAAAGTGAAGTAATATTTCGATTTCTGATTAAAAGTTTTATGATATAAATCAAGTTATCAGTTTAAGTCAATTAGAAATATATTTTTTTTAAATAGTAGTAGTATTCAAATTAATAAAGTTAGCACTATGTGGTCGATTGTATTTAAAACTAAAAAAAGTACATAAAAAGTAAAAAATAAACAGGGTGTACTATGTAAAAAAAATATATCTTTGCGTTATTTTGGAGCAATGTGTAATGGTATATTTCTAATTTAATGTGACTCATTTAATAAATCTTCTATACAAAACTTTTTTTTGTAACCCAATCAGAAATTAAAATATTGGGAAGATTCGTTACTTTTTCTACACGCTGAATTTTAACTTAGCTATACTTACATCTAGATATAGAAAACGAAATTGTCAAATCAACAATTTATTGTAAGAATTCATATAAAAATAGTATTGAAATGTGTACAAAAATCAACAAAACAACATCTTCATTCGTAGTCACCGATATATGTTTTTTCTACACCCACATGGATATTAGTTCTATAAATTAGCAGAATACATAAATTATTTTAAAATTAGTTATTTTGTCTGAATAATCTAAAATAATTTTTTAAATTTGTAGATTTTCTTTAGTGGGCCGTAGAAACAATATATTATTGTACAACTCGAGCAGATTGCCTACGGCGTCGTGCTCGTGCAATATGGCCATCATATCCACTATTGTTGCACAAACTACTATTTTTTTTGAAATACAGTACCTACTTATTCCTGAAAAAATATATTTTTAGTAAAACTTAAATTTAATCGATACCTATATAGGTAACCATTTAACAGTTTGGGGGGAAAACCTCCATTACTCTTTGTAGTGATAGTCTGATTTCTAAATATGTATGTTTCTGTAGAAGTTTGTGATAGTTAGCAGTATAAACCAATAAAATGTAAATAATATTCGCCCTGTCCTGTATAATTTACTAAAAAAGCAAAGTAATAAATTACGTTTTGTGATGGAGTCATTATCAGAATTTCACATTTTCAAAATTAATCTACTATATTATATATCATCGTATCATGTCAATAACCAGACACGTTAATTGTTAAATTAAAAAAAAAAAAAAAATTCTCCATTATGATTCCACGAAATTTAAAAAACTGGACCCCCTTTCTTATTATAAATTTTATAGATGTGCTCATAATTCAGAGGGGATACAAGAAGGAGGAACTATTTTCATATTATAAATTGTCAAATTATAAACAGAAATCAAATTGTTTCCAATTTGTATCCTAAAGTACATAATAATGCTATAAATTAATTTATTTCATACGTTATGGACCGCACATTTTATGTTTATGTTTAGTTATTACAGGCTTTTTCCGGTTATTTTGTACAACCTATTGCAGCACCTCCATAAATGTTTAGAGGATAAAATAAACATTTTTATATAGATGTTCAATGAAAATGAAAATTTTAATTTAGCACTTTTCCTACAATTTATATTTTTTTACATTTTGTCAAATTTCTCGAACACGGACCATTTTAGGAAAATTTTGTATAAAACAAAAATTTTAGATAATAATATAAGAAGTAGGTAATACTTTTATTTAAAGAATTTTCTTCCCCAAACATAAATAACAGATATATTCCATAATATATAAAAATGACCACCTATAAAGTACCCCCCAGATGTTCCGACACTGCCCAAAATCTAATCAGCACATTGGACGATGGAACAAAGCTTAAGTTTGAAATTTGGTGTTTTTCTGTCTATCGGTTCATGAGTTATGCGACACACACACACACACACACACACACACACACACACACACACACACACACACACACGCACACGCACACGCACACGCACACGCACACGCACACGCACACGCACACGCACACGCACACGCACACGCACACGCACACGCACACGCACACGCACACGCACACGCACACGCACACGCACCGCACACGCACACGCACACGCACACCCACACACACACACACACACACACACACACACACACACACACACACACACACACACCACACACACACACACACACACACACACACACACACACACACACACACACACACACACACACACACACACACACACACACACACACACACACACACACACACACACACACACACACACACACACCACACACACACACAACACACACACACACACACACACACACACACACACACACACACACACACACACACACACACACACACACACACACACACACACACACACACACACACACACACACACACACACACACACACACACACACACACACACACAACACACACACACACACACACACACACACACACACACACACACACACACACACACACACACACACACACACACACACACACACACACACACACACACACACACACACACACACACACACACACACACACCACACACACACACACACACACACACACACACACACACACACACACACACACCACACACACACACACACACACACACACACACACACACACACACACACACACACCACACACACACACACACACACACACACACACACACACACACACACACACACACACACACACACACACACACACACACACACACACACACACACACACACACACACACACACACCATAGGAATAGAAATTATTTTTTGTAATAAATGGCGCGCTTGAAGTCACTGGCGGTCGGCCGAGATCAAAGTTTGCAACCTATTTATAGGGTGAATTTTTCTTATAATAACTAAATTACACGATAAAAAAGGTCTCTAGAATAACATATTTAATTGTTAAACAAGTAGTAAATAATGAGAATTTCATATAAAAAATACATGTTAGGGATGCTCTTACGCCCCCTTATGCCTGAAATTTTTCTCTGATCATTTTTATAGTTATTCATATAAATTAATTCGAACAAAATACGAAGTTTTTAACCAATTCTGTAAAGAAAATTTCGACTAGGTACTATTCTACGACTTTGGGGTGATCTTAACCCCCTTTCTGCCTATAGCCAAGTCAAAACTTTTGATACGGCAACTTATTGCCCCTATTAAATGATAACCTTTTGGCCAATTTTTAGCCTACTTTGAGTAAAATGTTCACTAGCTCTTTGACTATAACCTAGATTATTAATTGCTAGTTATAATAAGCTAGATATTCTATATTTTAGACTTTTATTCGTCTTCTGTGTTATTGGAGCAATACATTTTTACCATCTGTAATGAGTCACTAATACTTGACATTATTTTGAATTAAAATCAATATACTCGTATTTTTGCTGCGTTTGAGAATCCACATCGGATGCATTTTTTACATCTCGAGCGTTTTTTTTATCCACATCGGACACATCTGTCCCATTACATTTACGTATACTGAATCACGTGATCAAAGATTTTTTACATCTCAGATGCATCCGATGTGGATTCTCAAACGCAGCATTTGTGAATTAAATTAACAATAAATAAGGGTGCGTTCAAATATTACGTACGCAGGCTTGGGGGTTCAAGTTTTTTCTATATTTGCTAATACATTGAGTTAGGGGATGTTATAAATCTTAACGTAATATAAAAAAAAATACAAAATAATGAAAATGTTCTCAATATAATATTTTTAATTTAATTAAATAATACTGTTTTTATTTTGGTTAAACCGAATTTCTTTTCATAATTCTTATAAGAAATAAATGAGTGTTCCGTTTATTACTTTAACCTGTTTTTTGTTTTTAATGTACCGTTGTTCAATTCGGGGAACCGCAGACGTACCAAGACATTAAACGGATTGAATCAAATATAACTTCCATTTGTCATCTGTTTGATACGTAATAAAAGTTTTAAAAACAATCATACGTCTTATCATTTGGGGGAGGGGATTTTATTATTTTTACTTATACAGGGGATGGGGTTCTAAAATAATTAAGAGTTTGCTTACGTAATACTTGAACGCCCCCCGAGCTTTAAATAATTCCATGAATTATTCTGTTTTGTCTAGTGTTGTAAAATTTCTGAAATACTTCCTGAAACATTGGAATTATGGATGAACACAAATAAAGACTTATTCTTCAAAAAACCAAATAAAATAAAATAAAAATAAGGTAAAATTTGTACAAAAAATTTTATTTTTGACAACAAGTTAAGCGTGTTAAGCAAGATTAGCAAGAGGCATATCTTCATCGTGTCATTAAACTCGATAACATCGTCTGCTTCTTACCAGTCTAACTTCCTCAAAATCTTCAATAGTATCAAAAATAAAAATTGACCCTTTTCTGTTTTCTTCAGCAAGTTTTCATTAATAATATTGAAGGCTGCATATTACGCTGCACGAAATATCACTTCTAGAACAGAAGTAAAAGTTGGAAATGCTTTTGCCAGTTCTCCCACTTTATACACATAAATTGACAGGTTGGCAGCGGATCTTACCGAAGTGGACGCGATACATTGGCGTACAAAATTATTTTATAGATGTTAATAACAATTTTGAGTAAATAGTTTAATAAATTGTGAATAGCTGTTGAAATTTTGTAAAATTATAATTTGAATAATATAATACATATTTAATAATTATTTATAATCCATAAATACATGCGATTGTCCGGTTCCGCCGATAACAATTTAAAATTACTTATTCTATGAAACGACACTGGCAGGTAAACATTACTGTGAAATTCTCGGAGCCGCCCGACGTGGTTTGACGTTTACCCCCTCTCTACCTACCAAAAGACTTTTTAACTTTTACTTTCTCTATAACCCCAGTATATATACCAATCAGTATGATCAGTATTGGCACTCTGAGGCGGCA